GGACCTATCTATGGACAAAATACAAGCGAAATCAATTTTTCGACCTGTGCCATTGATAGGCGATTTAGGTCCATTTTTATAGGCATTCACTCTTAAGTCAGAAAATGTTGATACCCTTCGTATGGAAGGTTTTTGGGTTTGAACCACTCACTCACTTCCCTTTTAATGTTGGAATTTCAAATTTCCAGTAACCTTCCATGGGTTGGGTAAGAGAAAATACTTGACTGACTGACTGACTGATTGACCAACGTACAGTCAGACAGACAGACAGGGTGATCATTTTCTGGAAGGATATATATGTTGTATTTTTTGAGGAATGTTCGTCAGAATGATTTCAAATTAGTTTAATTTTCATTAAAAGGGAATGGAGAGTCTATTACACCAATAACTTACTAGCCCAACAAAAATAAAGAAATTGCTACAATTGCTTGCATGGCCTAGTGGAGCTGAAGGTGGACAACATATTCAGGAATCGGTTGTGTGGTTCTATGAGAGTGCAAAATAAAAAGAGATATCTTGCAGGGGCATTGATATGAGATGCTGGCAGGGTTGGACTGAGTTAGAGATGGATGGGGCTGGGTATTATGCAAGTTATTCTTTTTTAGAACATCCCAGAAAGTGAGAAGAAGAAAAGAAACTGGTTTGAAAAATTTAACCTTGGTCTAAACAAATTAACCGAGGTTGACATCATTGTGACCTAAAGTATATTATTTTCATATTGCAAATGTACAGTTTTTGGTAAATTTCTGATTAATTTTTAATAAAAAACCTATTTTGTTGTTGTCTTTTAGGTTCTGCAGCACTTGGCTTCTTTGTTCTTTTTACACTATCAGCAACATGTTTAGGAATGGGAATATATATGATGTAAGTTACTTACATGTTAGTTACTTACATGAAGGTACATGTACATGAGAGTTGATATTTATGTATAAGACTTGACTGTGTGAGATTTATTTGTGAGCTGGGCTGCTGCTGCTGCTGCTGCTGCTGCAGGGTAGTGGATTGTAAAGACTGTGAGTCCACTGGCACCTGGTGAATGTAATAGAGCTGAACAGATGTTGAACCATGTTTACACGGTTCTGTTGGGCATTGATACATGTATCTACAATCATGGACAAAAGTCTTGGGACAAATTTGCACTTCTGGCACTTTTGTGCACACGCCAGACGCAAATACTACTTCACCTCCCTAACCTCACCCCCATCCCCCATACAGTGTTGAATGCATTTTTAAAAGGAAAGCGGCGCTTTTTTTAAAACTTCAGTGGTAAAACACATATAATTTGTTCAATTACCTAAGTGTCCTAAGGACTTTTGTCCACGATTATAGCCTAACCTGCAATCAGGTGCTTTTTTTCAGCAATTAAATGGGGGAAGGGAAAAAAGAACACCTGGTACACATGTATATTTTGAGAGTCGTCTGCATGTAGTCCAGAATCTGGACTTTTGTCCGATTGGTCGTAAACCTAAAGTGTACAGTCATGTATTTGAGTCACATTCTGAATGTTTACCTGATTAGATATCTGACTACCAGTGCAATTCCAGACACAAAGTCTGGGTGCTGCAGAGATACGTATGTATAACAATTGACAACATAACAGTTGCACTTTTTGCTAAATGATAGAAGACTAGCTGTCACAGAATCAATGGTTACTCCCACACTTTAGTCAGGCCATGTGAATTTCCAGTTAAGTCTGATTGCTCACATTTATAGCATGACCCAAGAGAACATCACTGTTGACAGGTCAGCCACAAAGGGATGGAAGATGACCCATGAAGTAAATGTATCAGGTGTTCTTTTTCTCCCTTCCTCCATTCGCTGTTTGCCAAAACAAAAGAGTGCCTGGTGGCAGATTATCTCCAGCCCAATCGGACAAATTAAGCGTTTCATTTCTCACATTTCTATGGTGTAGTTTGTTGATTGAGTGTTGCATTCTGTTAAGATAACTGCAGGGTGCAGCTTTCAGCTGGCTACTCAGCTCCCTCTCAGCGGACTGTCCTAAATTGAAAAACACCAGTCTAGAGTTACTGGGTATTGTTATCATGATTAAAATTCTTTGATTTAATTTCAGAGTGATGGGAGTCCTTGTCTTGGGTTTTGAAGCTCCCATGTGTTGTCAGTATGTACCAACTCTTGTGACAGTCAGTAACTGGATTGATGCTCACTTCAGATTCTGGATGAGAGGAAGTTTGTATTTTGTGTAAGTTGTTCTGAAAAGAATATTAGAACATGTTACTGATCTTTTTTCACATTCTTTTAGGGTCAGTAAGTACAGTCTGTGTGAAGACAGTTGCTGCATTAGGAAAGAAGCTTTGATCTAAATCCATGACTGCTATGATCTTACATTGACTGTGCTTGCATTAGTATGATTGTACTCTTTTCCAGCTGATAGTTACAAGAAACATTCCTGTACAGCTGTGTGTGTAGATGGTCAATTTGCCCGGTGCCTGGCCCTTAATGAAACCCTTGCAATTAAGCAACTAGTAGATTTAAATTACATGTCCCAGCATGTCATCATCTGGTCAGCAGCCTATCTCCCAGTTGACGAGGATAATCGACAAGCTGATTTAGTTAAACAATGTCACCTAAGGAATGTTAATTCTTGTTTGGTTTTTACATAGGATGGCCATTCTCCCTATAATATTTTGCCTGGAAGTCTCCACATTTGTTGGTTGTGGTTCAATCATGATCACAGCAGCCTTGTATGGTGTTTTAGCCATCGGAAGAAAGTAAGTGAATTCTTTTACAAAAATCCATTTTAGAGATGGAAAACTCAGTAAAAAACATTTTAGAAGAGGATTATAACTGTGGTATTTTGGGTCATGTCCGATGACAGACTGTTATTTCCAGCACTGCCATAGCATGTAGCTTAAACGTGAGGTGAATTTTTTTTTCAGGGGAGCTGATGTAAACAAGAATGCTAATTCTGATGACATTGAGATGAAAACGAACTTAGTTGATAACAAGGGTGATCCAAACTATGTAGAAGAAACAGGACCTTGAAATGTACACTCTCACAGTTTGTGTATGAGATACACTTTACCACAGTATTTAAAGATTTTAAGTTAAAGAATAATTCTATTATGAAAGACTTACTATGATAGAACCTGTGCATACTCTGGTGGTTAACACGACACTGCAGTGTACCACAGTTGTGATGTCATAAATTTTATTGTCTACAAGACGTAGAAGCTATCCCCTCATATTTACACACTTTTAATCTGATGCAATATGTTAGAAGAATGATGGTTGTCTACATGTACACTGTACATAGTGCAAAGTTCATTGTGAGGTTTGCATAGCAGCTATTTTTACCGGTGTTAATGCCACATCTTCATAAATACACAACCCTGCAGAAACAACTATGTGGACCCCTTAAGCCCCCCCGCCCCAGATTAGAATGTCGAAGGGTTGTGAAAGGATTGATGTATAGTGGTAACAGTCGTATTCTGAAAATAATTACTTCTTCTAAAACTGGTAGTTTATCCAGCAGTATCAGTGCCAGAAAAACTACTGGTTTTAGAAGTTAACCTAATGCTTGAGTTCGTCACATTTTCAAATAACTAATTCACTCCAAGTGTGTTGCATGTTATCGTAAATGTAGCTAGTAATGTAGATGGTATCTGATAATTATTGCATCACAATAGCTGCATGTACATGTGATCTTATTTTATGTTTAGTGGGTTTTCAAATTATATTTTCCTTTCAAAGAATGATATTTTGGACTTGCAGTAAAAGCTGTTTGAACTGCAAATCATACCTGGGGCTTTTTATACAGTGCTGTGTTTCCTCAACATTTAGTGGCACAAGACTCAACAGGATTATTTCAAATGTCATATTTTCATTCCTGATGTCTATAAATCTGAACTAGAGACGAACATGTTCACACTGTAGCTGTAGATCTGTAGAATACCATCTTCTCTATTACATTCTTTCTCCAAGCAGTTAGGGCTTTAGAAGAATAATTAATTATAATTCTTACAAAGCACCTTAACATTATTAAGCACTGTCAAATTGTGCCTCCTTAGAGTTTTTCTAAGAATGTATTTGAGGGGTATTTAACTAAGGAAGGCACTAACTGATAATTCAGGAATGAAAATTGAACCAATTGGAATGCTCGGATTGACCTCAAGACTACCTTATCTTGGTCAGGATTTTGCCATGGGGATGAAAACAGACTTAAGCTGGTGTATTTTTGGTTTCCAAAAGTTGGCTGATTCATTGCCCAAGTGCCATACAATAAACCACTTACTAACCTAGCTGGCTTGAACCGTACTGGGGAATATCTGCTCCTGCTTATTAATTAAGAAACTAGAGATATATAATTTATATTAAGCTTGGGTTATCTGTTAGTCCCCAAGCTTGAAGGAAATTACTAAGATATTGACCTTTAGGCTTTAGACTCCAACATGCAACTTATCCAACTGTCATTGAAAAGTTGAAGTTTTGATACTGTTTTTAAAGTTGCAGTAGTGATAGCCTGTTACTTCGGACGTACATTAATACATACAACTGTATTTAGTTGTAAAAAAATCCTAGTTACTTCATCAATGGCTTGTTATTTAAAGTGGACACTTCTTTTAGCCTAACCTAAAAGGGTTAAAGTAGTAATTTATTTTAATTTATTGTAATTTATTTACTTATATAAGTTTATATACGTATTATTGTAATATAACAGCAGATCATTAAATCCACACGAAAAAAAAAAAAGAAAAAAAAGATTAAAACTGTTAACTTTCTCAGTGCAGTTTCAATTTTTTTGTGCATATCAAAATTCTTATAACGGAGGTTTATTTAACCCTTGGAAGTTGAAAATTTCTAGATTCCAATTGGAGGAACAAATACCAGTTGGAGCCAACATAATAATTGAACCTGTAGCTTTATATCTGAGTTGCCTGGAAACATTTTTATCTGCGCTGTTCCATGCTGGCACGTTTTCATTTGCATTCTTTCCACTCTCTGATTGGTTGATCAAAACAAAACGATTCTTTAAGTGAAGCTTCAACGAAGATTAGCCTAAAACGGCACTGACTGATTACCAATTTCAATTCTGTCAGCAGGGTTTATCTTAAGTTTAATACTTGCTTATTGTGGTGGGGGTATATAAGATTCTGCTATAGTAGAGATTGTCAACTTAGAATCAATTGAAAGTGAAAAGGAAGAGTTTTTATTTTTTATCATTAAATTATGGTTCAAGGTGGATTGCAAAGTTGTTTTCTTGTTTGTGGGCTTGTGGTTCGGAATTGAAATGTAAAATTTGGTAAACAAACGACCGGTAGCCGCCTGAGCCTGGTGCGATAGACATTGATTTTGCTCG